TCTCTCTCTCTCTCTCTCTCTCTCTCTCTCTCTCTCTCTCTCTCTCTCTCCACTCGTGCATTTTGGGTCTTCCATTAACCATCTCTCTCTCTCTCAGCCTGCTTGCTGTTGACAGTTTCTCCTTAAACCACCAGTACGTTTCCCAGCCATTTTGCAGATCCGGGCCGTGCATGCTGGCGCATCGGGTGGGATGCACCGTGGTGACCGTTTGCCCGAAATCCATCCAGGCAAAACGGGTTGCATGGAAGGCCTTATTTGCCAGGATGGCACCCCGGTGCATCCTGCCCAACATGCCAGCATGCACGGCATGTTTCAGCAAATGGCTAGGAAATGTACTGGTGGTTTAAAGAATGATCGACATGGAACTATTCGCAGATGATGTTCAAGGTGCTGAGCGCAACTGAACCCCTTCTCATCATCTTTCTCTATTCCCCTCTAAGGAGCAAAGGTTTCAAAATAGGAAGTGGAACAAGAGTTGACCTTTGTTATGTCGTTTGGAAGACCCATGTGGTGCATCCAGCTCTCCATGTCTTTCCTTCTCAGCCGCATCTCGTCCTTGCGTTTATTCAAGGAGTGCAGAAAGCCCTGCCGGAATGACAGCAAATCAGCAGAATCAGCATGACGCATCCTGTACCTGCCTAGTGGCTGAATAACTGTTGATAAACAGATCGAGAGTTCCTGTCCTGTAAAATAACATTCGGGGATGACCCCTCCCCTTTCCTTTTCTTCCTTTTTTGTCCATTACAAGGCTGGAAAATAACCCCCCTTTTCTTTAATAAAAAAGAAAAGAAAAGCACGAGGTGTCTTCATCAACCACCAAGACCACACAGTGCAGCTCTGTCTGCCGCACGACAGAGGAATGTTTTCGAAACTAAACCGAAGTCTGCACCCACAATGACATCCATGAAAAGTTGGATTATGAAATTTGATTGAAATACACAACCAAGGTTGGCAAAAGAGGAGCATACCCATCGAGTGATCTTCGTGAAGTGTGCAATGCGAACGAGAGAAAGTTGAGAAACCTTTTCTATATGAGAGAGACATCTCTTCTATACGAGAGAAGTCTCTTGTACACGAGACAAACCTGATCTACATTCGAGAAAGAATCGCAAATTTGAATACAGTACGCACATGTGGCTAACTGCCAATCAACAGGGCATAAGTTTGAGTCCTGATTGAATCAGATGGATACAATAACAGTAGGGCCTACGGACCCCCTTAAAGAAAAAGGCATTGAGGGGTTATACAACATGCTGGTTGTCAGACAATGGAGACAGGAGTAAGAATTAGATGAGACTTAAGCATACAATAGGCAGCCGGGTATAGGTAAGTTAACTAGACTAAAAGAGTGTAGTCGTTATAAAAAAGAGGGCTGAACAGAGGGTGTGACTGATAGGATGGACAAAGGAGATGGTGTAAAAATTAGACGAGACTTAAGGATTCAATAGGAAGTCGGGATAGGGAAGGATCCAGACTAAAACAGTGTTAGTAGGTACAAAAAAGATGGTTGAATAGAGGGTGTGACTGACAGGATGTGAGGCCCGTGAGACTGCTAGAATGCCCCCCCCGGGCCAGGCCTTCCCTGGGGACCCATCTGTTGCGTGGCTGGGTGCTGCTAGGAAGCCTCCCGACCAACAGAGGTATCCCTGGGGAGGCTATGGTATGGGAAGAGGGATCGGTTGTAGCAATCCCCCCC